GAACATGTGTTTTTTAATAATAAGATATCGTGTTTTTTTATCCATTGTGCCATATCTGCTAAAATTGATAATTTTTTTAACTTAAGAACTTACGAGCTTTTATGGACTATTCATAACTTTTTAACTTATATTTTTATTTTATTATTATTATTTTTATAAATGAAAAAAAAATGTAACTAACGAAATTAAAATAAAGTTTTTTTCTTAACAATAACAATAAAAATGAGAAATAAAGAAAGAAGATATTTTTGGTCTTGTCTTTTGAACAATTTTCTTGCTTTTTTACAATGTTTTGTATCCGACCAATGATTTTACACTCTGTTAGTTACTCACGGACTGAAAAAAGTGTCGTACCGTTTGAAGTGAATAAGCGCTTCTTCTCTTGTTTTTAATTTAATAAAGTACTTGATCCAAACTCCTTGTAGTTATTTCGTAAGCACCCCGAGGCCATACAATCCCAAGTAACAATATACATAGAAAAGAAATTAAAATATTTCTTGATATTAGAAAGAGAGATAATTATCTAATAGATGATCCAATTTTTATTCTTTTTATCCTTACAATGCCAACAAAGGACTGGAAGGAAAAAAAGTGATCTATATTCAACATGACCCAGTAACATCGAAATAGGTAAAAAAAAATAGATTAACGTCCATAACGTGCTAGTTAGTAGCGGCTGGAAGAAAACGAAGGAAAAAGGTGTAAACGCGAATAGCCAGAGTTTACAAGGTAGTTTAAAACTGTAGGCATGAGATGACGTGGTAAAAAAAAAAATGAAAACAAGAATACCCTACGCTGCATCGAACTTTAATTTTACGCTCCATGATTTAGGGCATGTGTGTATCGAAGCTTTGTAATTAAAATTTTAGAATATCGCTGCTTCTTTCTTAAATTATTTTTCGTTTCAAATGGACGCCTTGATATGTTATAGAAGAAGTAATCATGGAATTTTACTATATTTAATATTATTGTAGTGTACTCGATTCATTTTATTGCGGTAAGGACAAATGTGCACATGAAACGAGAAGGACACGAATAGTTGATAAATTTGAATACTACAGTCGGTCGAGAGTTGAATTGATACTCAAATTTATAATCATTTATTATAGAACAATTGATGGCAATAGTTGCTCTAGCCATACTAGTTTCAACAGTGGAATTTTGTTAATTTGATGAGAGCAACGCCTGATCTCTAAAGAACTTATTGCATGATTTTGTATTGCCTAATCAAATATAGATTGATATGTTTTAAATAATATATTTACTGATTTTACTTTAATGAAAAATTGTAAAGCTCAAGGTCAAAAAGTTTTTTCAACACCTCGATTATTATCAAAATAAAAGATGAAAAGTTGAAATTACCGATTATATTAAAACGATTATAATTATTTTTTCACAGTAAGGTTGTTTGATTTAATTATATTTGATTATGTTTAAGTGTTTAATAAAATACTGATTTAAATTTTGAATTATTCACCCATACAAAATTTGGTTTGAAAAAATTGAATGCACGTAAAGAAAAACTAACAACTCAATTCAAAAAACAAATTTATTTTCAAAATCACACAAAATTTGAAAACAATTTTTTTTCAGCAACAATAAACGATGATTTTCGTGCCTTTTACCTTAAATCAAATGTTCGATTCCGATTCTCACGTGAGCGTACATAAAAGACAAGAGTAACGGGGGCAGCTTTAACTTCGACAGACTAGCCAAGCCATAATTTCTTTCCTCTAATTTCATTTTCGCTCGGAGTTTCGTTGTGCAGCTAGAGTTTTAATTCCGCCACGGGACCGCTTTCTCTTTACCTTCCCCCTCCCCTTTTTTCCAAGCGGAAAATTCTCTGAAAATTGCAACTCGCGTGCGCTTACCCCATTTATCAACCTTAATTGGTGACCCTTTTTTTTTATTTACTTCAATTTTAGTGTTTAATGTCTTTTGAAAATATTACTTATTATAGAACATAAGTAATGAAACTGATGTTCATACGTGTTCTAGTTCCTTGAGTTAAAAATTAGTTATTACTAATGAGCGCCGAAGAAGAAGTTGAGCGTGTATGGGTGCGAAAAATAAAAGGTAGGGTGGAAAAAGATGCAGAGTCACCCTATCCAAAGTGTCGACCCTTGAAGTGAGACACGCCTATACTCACGTATCCCATAGAAAAATGCGCCTATTCAGGTGAAAAAAAAAAAAACTAAAAAACAATAATATATTCATACTCAAACAAAATCAATTTTATATATAATGAATATCCCTAATAAAAACTTTTTTTAATGAGTCATATTGTAAAAACCATTCGAGAGCTTGCATTGCTTACCTAACTCCATCGTATTCAAGCTCCAATAAAAAAATTGTATCACAAACAGGTACAGGCTCAAGGGGAAATAAGCCCCAAGTTGTACGAACAATGCACGAGAGAATTCGATTAAAAGCAACCTTCCCACGAATCGAGCGAAATTTATTTCACGTTACCTCATTTCCTCCCACGTTTTAACGAACGGCGATCACCTGCGCCTCGTCCACGCGCCTATATATGCGGACGCGCGTCATTGAGCTCGCTAATTCGGTGCCCCATTACAAGGTGCGAGTACCACGGCGCGTAGCCGCAAATTACACTCGTCCTCCGCGCGCTTGATCGTTACGCACCTTATGGCTTGACACCCTCTTCGGCTAGGGTCGCTTTATACATTACGTTGGAAAGGCAATTGATCGAGCGAACGTTGAGGAAATTCGGAAGTACTCGACGAACACCTGGGAAACTGGAAAAGTAGTTTATATTGTTGCTCTGACGTAACATAAGACGACAAGTTTTGTTATTAATACAACTGTTACCAGTTACTTTTCCTTTTAATTGCGAAAACTGTGCTTTAACTTTGTTGTTATCTACACTATAAACGAAAGTGTTTTGTTCCTTGATTAATTTTTTAAGGCTTAGACATTTAATATCCAACACTTGAATAGTTAAATACTGCAAGTGCTTGCGGGTATACAAGTGTTTTATTCTAAAAAAGTTTTGAACGTTTACAAGTCAGTAATTGAATTGATTAGGTACGTGTAATAAATTAATCAGGTAGAACTGATGTAAGTATTTTATATTCGTTAAAAAGTACTTGGATATGCAAGGTCAATATTTAAAAGTAATCAATTGACAGTATTTCGAATCTACAACAGAATTTAATATTTAGAATGTTTATTCATGAAATACTTCGTTTCACAGGGTGTTGTGCAAACATCGTATAGAAATATTGGAAATCCGTAAGAGATTTTGAATGTGTAAGTATTAATTAAAAAAAAAAAAAAAAAAACATTTTGAATTTACTGCGGAAGAATTTTAAAAGTGATTAAAAGATGTAAAGTGGTTGGTTATAAAACACTGTAGTTTACAGAATTAGCGGTTTTGAAGTAATTATTTTAAAATATTGACATGATTTTAACACATAGGTCACAGTGAAAAAATACTTGAATGAACAGAGTAAGCAGTTTTAGTCATCAAATGATGGAAATGTTTCAAATATGTATCAAAATTCTAACACTTGACTGATTTTTTTAAAAAACACTTGATCAACAGAGCTAGAATTACGAAAGTAACTAAATAAAAGAATTTTAAATCCACTATAAAATTTGAACACTTTGGTGATAGTTATAAGATACTTGATAGCACAGAACTAGAGGCTTTATAGTAATCGGATAAGTGTTTTTCTTTATAAAACACTTGATTTACATTTCGAAAGTAATTAGATATAAAGATATTTAAAATCCGTGACGAAATTTGAACACTTAGTAATAAAACACTTAAATTTACAGAGTGGGTGTTTTGAAAGTAAACGGATTAAAGCGTAAATTCAAAATATACGACAGAATCTGAGCACTCAAATGTACGTAAAAAAACAACACATCTATCAAATTCTCAGTGAAAAAGTATCCCTCAAAAATAAGTTCTTATAAATCCTCAGTTGTCCCGAAGTTTTCTGATACTTGCCAACCATAACAACCAAAATAAACACGCATAGATATTTGCAATCGCAAGTACAAATCGCTGTTTTACTCTCGAGCCCGTAAACACACACATAATTCACGGAATCGCCAACGTATTAGGCTGATTGTTTCACCAACCCTAAGGCTCCCTATAAATTAACATAAAAATTCACAACCCCCTACTCTACCCCCACCCCCAAAAGAAAACGCAACAAACTCACTTTCCCTAATGGAAAAACATCATTCCGGTCAACAGCGCGTCAAAGCTCAATCCCAAGACGATTCCCCAAACAACCCGATCCAGCACATTTTACTCAAATGGATTGCAAATCAGTCCAATAGCATTAAGGCTCGATTCCATATCAGTTTACCCGGTAATAACACACACAAATTCCCTCTTCATCGTCGGCATCATAACAAATTCCCCCTCGAGAACCCATAAACCCCCCACCCCATGTATATTCGCATCTCTGGAGAAACTTTGAAAAAAGAGGCCAGGCTACTCCCTCTCCCCTACCACACGCACTATCCCCCGGGCCATTTAAGAAATCATGAGTAGTGGAGCCAAACTAAACCCATCCCCTCCCCTGAACCGAAGCCAAACTGCAGTGGCTCCCCTTCGGAAAATATTAATTTCTATCGAGTGTGTTTCCTCCCTCGGAACCCCCGTCGCCCAGCCCCCCGTCGAATTAGCGCGTTCGAGAAAAAGCGTCTACAAAAGAAAACAGGGGCGGGAGAGGGATGCGGGGAGATGGAAGCCCCATCCGAACGGGGCGGGGCCTTTCCCCGTACAAAGGGGGCCCTTTTGGACGTTCCTTCCTCCCTCGAGGTGGAGTTTGACGAAGGGCGCGTATATAGGACTGCCGCGCAACCCAGCGGGCTTCAGAACCCGGCGGACAGCCGAGCGCGCAGCATCGTGACTAACAGTGAAGTGTACACGCGTGTGTTTACTCGTCTGGTGATTTTTAGTTGCAAATAAGCAACAAAGTGCTCAAAACAACGACAAAAAATAAAGTCGGTCAATGATGTCGCGAAGCTTCCTGGTGGACTCGCTGATCAGCAACAACTCGCCGCCCAGCTACCCGATGCCGTACTACGGAGCCCAGTTGCCCAACTACATGTTCAACTTTTTCAATCTCGGGCTTGGCGCGTACCACCACCACCACCATCAGCAGCAGCCGCAAGTCGCGAGGCCGGTCGCGAGACAACCCGGGCCCATCGTTGGGTCGCCCGCGGCGACGGTCAATGTTGGGCTTCACAGTACCACGAGCAACGTTGTTGGGTCACCCATGCCCAGGTCCAGTCCGACTTCACCGATTCACAGTGTGGCACGTATTTCAGGTGAATATACGTACTTTTCGCTTTTCTTTTTCGGTGTCGGTACTATTTGGGTGGTTAATTTTAACTTCTTACACGCGATTGGGTGAATTTGGGTTATCAGACTTGCACCTGTTTGTGAGAAATGAATTGGAACCGCTCAAGTGTACAGCTGTGAAGCGTTTTGAGTATTAAAATCGAACTCTTGTTGAAAATCTTTTTTTATTTTTTTTTATTTTCAATGTCTATCTCAGATATTGGGCATATTCATCGGTTCAAGTTTAACACGCTCGTACTGTAAATCCAATTGTTTTAAAATAAAACACAAAACCGTCTACTTTATCTTGATTTTGAACGCCAGTGTTAATTTGATTTTAAATTGCTTAGGTGTTCAGTTGTACAGACTCGAAACATTTTAGAATATTAATTGCTAGCGTTTCAAATAAAATTGTTTAGCTTTTTAATTATGAAGTGTTCAAACACTTTCATTTTACATCCAAGTGTTTAAGACAAAAACTCAAGTGTTAAATTTCTGTGACAGATTTTTAACACAATCATCCGTTCATTTTAAAAATTCTGCATTGTTCAACACATAAAGTATCTTAAAACAAAAGATCTAAGCGTTTAAAATTACAGATTTTGAGCATTTAATCAAGTGTTTGAAATTTAATACCCATATCCAAGGTTTTTAGGACAAAACACTTGGGGTGTTTAAATTCGAATGTTTTATGTATTTCACGATCATGGGACCCAACAGTTTAATTTTTGCAAGAAAACACTTGCGTGTTTAAAAGTACATAGTTTGGGCGTTTCATCAAGTCATTAACACTAAATACTTAAGTATTTTTTTTTATAACACTTGGTTTTACAAGCATTATGAAAGTAAATGGATAAAAGTGTTAAAAATCCGTGACAGAGGTCACTTTTATCTTAAAAAACTTGGATGTTCAAATTCAAATGTATGTGTTTTATTATCATAGGATTTGAATGTTTTCAAGAAAACACTTTAGTGTGCAACACAAAACACTTAAGTATTTTTTTGTATAAAACTTGGTTTTACGGAACGAGCATTTTGGAAATAAATGGATGAAAATATTAAAAATTTGTGAAACAAGTCACTTTTCCCTAAAAAAACTTGGATTTGAAGTACTTTGATTGATCTCATGGTGTAAACCATCGCAAAAGAAACCCCCTAACGTCTCCTCACCACACGCAGCGTAGAGGAAAAAAAAAAAAAAAAAAGCTAAAAAGCCCCGTTCCTCTGATTCCAGAAGCGCCAACGGCCCACCCGGAGCTATCCCCGTCGCGGCACAGCAGCGGCAGCACAACGCCACCACCCCATTCGCCAAACACCGAGATCGGGGCGCTGATATCCGCGAGCTCGAAGCGCATTCGCACGGCATTCACGAGCACTCAGCTACTCGAACTAGAACGCGAGTTCGCGGCCAATATGTACCTCTCGCGGCTGCGGCGCATCGAGATAGCCACGAACCTGCGCCTGTCCGAGAAACAAGTCAAGATCTGGTTCCAGAACCGGCGCGTCAAGTACAAGAAGGAGGACGGGCCGAGCGTCGGTGGCTCCAAGTGCTGCTGCCTGCGGACGTGCGGCAAGAAGCGGGAGTGCGAGGACGCGGCCAAGGCCAAGAGTGACGAGAGCGAGGACACGGAGGAGGACGAGAGGAAGCCCGCGCTGGTCTGGGCCCCGCAGGTGCACGACTTGTCGTCCAAGGGCTGCGGTAAGAGGCCAGTTGAGGAGGCGGTGGAGGCCAGCGAGCACAAGAGGCGGAAGCTCGACAGCCCAAACGTCGCTGGTGGGTTCAGGGCGCTCACATGCACAAAGTACACGGTCGAGCATATCGTCAACTCGTGATTGTCGGGCCGCCAGAGTGGGGTTTTGTGATCTTTTGGGGGAGGTGCGCTGTGACAATGGAGGACTTATGTGTGTGTTTGAAAAGATGATTTGGCGTTGTTCCCAGGGACTATTCGTGCGACCCCCGTTGTACGTTTGTAAGTGTACGAATGACGAGTTGGCGAGGAGTTGATTCATGTACATACGAACTGTAAATAGGTGTATTTATGTAAAGATTAATAGAAATTAAGTGTATTTATATTTTTGTACAGAGGCTATCGTGCGAATTCTCGAAATTGCCACTTATGACAATCATATTGACTGAAATATCAACAATAATAAAAAAAATATTTTATACTCATGAATGCAAACTTTTATTCCATTTTTACCCATTTACTTAAAAAAAAAAAAAAAAAATGAAATTACACGCTGAGAGAATTTACTTGTACCGAGCGTTAAAGATTTTTTTTTTTATTAACTCCTAAATAAAATGAGACACGTTTTTAAAGAATTTTCGATTAATTGTAGACAAAAATGTATCAATTTTTTTTTATTCGAAAAAACGGAGTTTTCAGAAAATATTTTAGGGTTCGTCTATTGTTAAGAAAAACTGATTTGGATTTTTTACTAGAAAAACAGCCTATTACGATTTTTGAAATTTAACAGTATATCATTTGTATTCCTCAAGCTTTTATCTTTGACGCATAAGGCATCTCCAGCCTAAAAATAACACGCAAAATTAGAGTGACAAAGTTGGATCATATCGTGTAATACATTTTTACTCTGTTGTATCTAAATCTACAGCTGGCTAATCAGCTAATTTCAACGAATTTTTTTTTCCATGTTTGATTTTGAAATCACTAACTATTTGATGAGTAGTGAATTACTTTTTTGTCCAACCTGACTTCAACACACGTGCCCTCATTTAAAATTGAAGAAACGTGAATTTTATGTGATGTAAGGTACTTTCGACGAAGGTGAGTATTTCTATACTTATAACCACGTGTCTAAATAATAAAGTATTTTTACAAAAATAGTCTAATCAATTTTTCTTACATAAGATGGTAAAAAGTACATTTCACAAATATTGACTCAGTATCTTGCATGTCACGAATGACGTACGTAGTTTCTAAAAAATGAAATATGTAATTTCAATCGATAACTACTTATAATGGATCATTATCAATTGTTTGCATACCGCGGACTTTATCAGAATCATATCTTAAGATTTGGGTATAAAAGCTTATGATGTTCTTACGACTTGATTAAAAGCTATTCTTAGTGTAGTAGTAGATATCAAGTGCTGAATCATGGACGCTTGTTTGTTACCGATTCTTGTTACAGCTACTTTGATCAGCATAAGTAAGATACTTTCTTCTTATTGAATAATACAATGGTTATTGATGAAACTTTTTTTTAAAAAATACAATTGTTTGTATGTTTACGTTTACGTTTTTTAAGATTTTTCATAACGGATTTTTTAAATTTTACTTATTTAAAATCTTATTTCTCTCATAATTTTCCAGCTACATTATTTTCTTGAGACTAAAAAAAGTTTTTCTGCTAGTTAAAAACTTTGAAATTTTGATTCTAACCAATTTAAACGTGAAATCGTCTTTCTTAATCAAGATTCAGCACTTTAACAAACATTTAAATAATTTTAAAGCAAAATATTGAATTAGCTCTTTTTTCAATCCAAATGTGAATCTGCTTTTTTTTTTACTCAACTATCGATATGCGTCATATTGATCAATGTTTAACAAATCTCTGCAAAGTTTGGCAATGAAATGCAGTTCAATAACTTATAACACTTTCAAATTTCCTTTTAATGAAGTAAATAAATCTTCATGGGTTTGATTTTAATTTATAGCTTATTGAAACCCGAGTTTAAACCACTACGTATTATTGATTCAAATGTTTTTTCAGCTTCTGGTCTGGATTCAGAAAACATAGAAGGCTACGACTTAGCAGCCTATAACCTATAAAAATAACTCAATAACCTATAACACTTCCAAATAATCGATTTAATGAAATAAATAAGTCTCAAGTCTTTCTTTCTAATTTATAGCTTATTGAAATCCAAGTTTAAATCACTACATGTTATTGATCTAAATGATTTTTCAGCTTCTGGTCTGGATTCAGAAAACATAGTCGGCCATAACTTAGCAGCCCTAAAACAGTTTCCTTACCAGGTCCTCATAACCCTAGAATCTGGAATTTGTGGCGGTGCCCTTATTGAGCCTGACATCGTGTTAACTGCTGCTCATTGTATCCAAAATGACAATAATCGACCAAAGGCAGTTTACGCAGGAATGATAGATGTAAACGATCTTCATAATGCTCAATGGATCAACGTAAAAGAGATTTACACGCATGCGAAATACAATGGTGATGAGAACAAACTTCCCATGAACGACATTGCTTTGATGAAAGTGAGAATTGTTGAAAAGAAAATTTTTATGCTAATACCCCATATAACAATGACAATAGCGAGGCTATGTTAATCTATACCGTTTTATTATCAGTTAGAGAAAGAGTTTACATTGAGCTCGTACATCGACCTAGTAAATTTACCCGAGCGATGGGAGAATTTTAACGACAAAACCGCTGTTCTGACTGGTTTTGGCTGGAACTCAGTGGAGGTGACCATAGATTCCAAAGAAGAACCGGTGCGAGATGGTAAAACCGATCTACGATTGAGATACGCTCCAGTAAAGGTCACTGTAGAAGAAGGTTATCCTAGAACGATTCTCAGCGGACAAATGGAAAGTGCTTCTGGAGCTTGCGACGTAAGAATTTAAAACTAATTACCCGACTGAACCATAAAATGATTCGAATTATGTAATGTGACGTTATGCGCAATGTTTACCATTATAAATAATTCCTAGGGCGACAGTGGTGGTCCCCTCGTCAGAGACAACAAAGTTATTGGAATTTTGAGTTATTGTCCAAACGATTGTGACGAGACGCATAATCCTTCATATTACATGAAGGTCTCGGAATACTTGAACTTTATCCAAGGAGTGATAGATGGGGAACCCGTAAAGAAAGAAACTAAAATTGTCACTTTCCATTGAAATCAGATTAATAGTTTATGACGCGAAATCAGAGAAAGATGGACCACCTAAAACTGCGTGTACTTGACTAAGAGCTTTAAGTTACAGTCCAAGTGGCATACACAATTTTCTCTAGCATTGTATCAAGAGTCTGTATGATTCGACACTAAACAGGTTAATCAAATGAAAGTAATTGTGTTGAGCATCGACTTAGTGTGGAATACACATATTCTAGTAGTGTAATAAATTAGAGTTTGTCCCGCACATAAATCTGACATTATTTTTCTTCCAGCTGATTAAATATTTTCATTGATTGAGCCTGTACGGCTTTAATGGAAATACCTTCATTATGCTAAATTGATAATGTTTCAAAGATGATAAAAACATAAGGTTTGACACCTATAAAATAAATTTGAATAAATGTTTTTTGTACATGAAAAATTGAGCTTTTTCAAGACACAATCATAAATTCATGTACTCTCAATAGTTGATAGAATTTTTATTCCATCATTATCATACTGTACATCCTCAGTTAATTAGAAAATAAATTATTTGGCTTCTTATTCATCACAACTACTTTTCTCAAGCATTACTTTTGATTCGTCCAAGTTATTCTATTCATGTACGTAGATACTTCTGTACCGCATCAAATGTAGCGGTAACAATGAGTAATGTAAAGTTGTGTACACGTTACAAAATCATACATCATATTATGTCGATGCGTGCCGTGTGCAACCTTACAGATATGCATTCTCTATGTATAAGCAAGACTACATTGTCTAAGATTAACGCTCTCGTTAGAAGGCTCGGAAGTGCAGGTGCCAGATTCCCTCAGTAAATTAATGTTACATAGTTTTTTAGCCGATTCAATTCAACTTCCAGGTTACCGGGCTTCTAATTCCGTTAATTTTTAGTTATTATTTATTTTCTTTGCATTTGTAACATATAAATAATTTATATTTGATAACACGTGTACAGTTACAAGCTCAAATTTTTAATATATACTAATGTTAGTTAAAAACTTTTATGCGCACCAACGTAAGTAACGATTATACTACACGCAATAAATGCATTTTCTCTCATAGTAAAAAAATTGAAATTCAACAAAGTAACTGAGAGAGTATCGTGTCTATAAATTATCTAAAATAAGTTATGATGTAATATCTACTAAGATGGAAATGTATTTTATATTTTTTTATTACATAACAAAGACAAGTTGAAAAAAAAAAAGGACGAAGCTGAGAAATCTGATAATACACATAGAAGTCGAACCCAGTATTCGATAAAACGTTATTACTGCGACATAAAATTTATATTTTCATACCTCGGCAATATCAACTGACGTTTTCGTCCTATCATACAAGTAGTTCTTTAGTAAATACGATCTACTGCTATTTATATACTAATTGTTTTAGAATAAAAAAATTTTTGTTTGGGATCTTTAGTTATAACTAATAAGTACTAATTGAATGATTCTTTTTTTTTTTGAAGATTATATACAAGTTTCTCAGAAAATAAACAATGAATAACAAAAACATTTATGGATCTTGAAAAGTTCAAAATTATTTCGTTATAGATTTTACGTTGATTAATACATACATTTGTATAACTATTTTTTTTCCCTTTGTAATATGAAAATCTACTTTGTATGCAAAAATTTAGTTGTGAGACTTTTTCAATGTTTCGATCCTCTATGCCAAGTTGTTACAGTCAGTTAACTATTAGTACGTAGCTTCATCAAGTAAAAGAGAAGCCAGTATCGTAAAAAGAAAAAAAAGTCCAACCATGAAATTATATCAGCCCTAATCCTCAATTCTGTTTTTCACCTTATCACAGTTTCACCATGTATACTCAGTAATAGTGATACGTAAAATAAATATTATATAAGCAGAGCCGCTTGTGCACTGTCACATTTAAACCAAACCTCATTTACTTACTGACCTAATCGACGACAAATATGTTGTTGGTAGTTGGTAATGATTTCAATCGTGACAATCATAACCTAGCTTTGGGAAATATTGGCAACTTTCATTCTAGATTATACGTTTGTCAAAGTATGCGTGCGAACGTATTTCGACATGGGAAAACCACAGAAAATAAGATAGTTTTGTAAATACCAATATTTTTATACTTATCAGCTAGACGGTTGAATAACACGATGTGCTGATGGTCAGTGGGATTAAGCAAATAAATAGCGTATCTCGAATAGTGGGTATAAAAGCTTCTGATTTTCTTCTAATTTTTTCAGTAAACTATATTTAGTAGTACAATAGACATCAAGTATAGAATCATGGACTCTCGACTTTTATCGATTCTCTTTGCAGTTGCTTCAATAAGCGTTGGTGAGATACTTCAAACTAAATAAACATTTGTGAGGTTATGTGCTCAACTTTTCTCAACAATTTTCAATGTATAATAACATTTGTAATACTTAGGCGTGTGAAGTTCATTTTGCATGTCTGGGTGTCCTTTTTCTTACTCGTATAGTTGATGCTTTGTACGCAGCTTTTTTTATCGAACTGTTCTTCTATTATACATCTCCTTAACGATAAAACACGAATTTATGTTAACAAAAAGAGGTAGTATTTATATTCAATTAGGAAAAAGTCTTGTGCCGTATTGCACTGCAGCATATTTGTAGGCCTGACATTTTCAAACATATTTTTCTTCATACGAAGAAAATTGCACAGTTACCTTGAGGCTTTAAATAATTAATTCATTTAGAATCGCACAAAGTACAACGTTTTTAGTTTTTTTATAACGGAAATGTCCTTTAAACTTTATTATTTTTAACAACAAATGTAAGAAAACAATGTTTTTAACGTTATTTTCAATAAGCAGTAAATGACATGTAATGTAGTCCTTTGCATAGAAAATATGACTCAATGTAGTTATGTACATTTATTCTTTTAATAAAACCAGGAATTCTGTTACTTTCCAAATTCCAATTTTTTCAAATTTTCGTAAGCTTTTATCATCAGTTTTATTTTTTTGTCATTACATATTTTTACTTATTTTAGCCAATGCCAACTGAAATTTATTGTTTCCCGTAAATACCTTGTAAAGAATTTTAACTCTATTATTTGACAGATCAAAAAATCATTAAACTTACGATACTGAAAAAAAACTCTCTAAGAACTCACGGTTTTGAATTAAATTAAAAATAACTATTAAACCTATTCACTTCCAAAATAAACTGAAAATATGAGACTACAATAGTTGAAACAACTAGATTAATAGCTTTTCTGATATGCACAAGTGCAACGTATGCAGTAAATACAACGTGGCAACTTCATATCTCGAATTCAATACCATAATGCTGAAACCTACGTTATATTTATCATCGAATTTTATTTTTGTACTAAAATTGAAAGAATTATTCAATCAGTTACAGTATTGTGCTTATTATAATTTAACTTGTACTTTTAATTAAGCTGAGACTATTGAATACTATTACAATACATTTTTTTTCAGTTACTGGCTACGATGATGGTCGGTTTCGGTATCAGGTTGCCATATACTCTGATTCTTTCATTTGTGGTGGTGCACTCATTAAGCCTGACATCGTATTAACTTCGGCTCATTGCGTCAAAGACGCCAAAAATCCACCAAAAAAAGTATATGCTGGAGTAATGGATCTAAATGATCCTGAATTTGCTTTTTCTGTTCAATGGAAATTAATTAAAGAGATTTACGCACATGCAAAATACCAGAGCAACGAAAACGAAACGTATCCTATAAATGACATCGCTTTGTTGAAAGTAAGAATCAGTAAAAAAAATATATTATGTACAAGGAGCTACACACTCTGAAGTCTTTCGGAGACTTCTGAAGTCTTTGAAAGACTTATAATGACTTATGAAGTCTTTTTTAATGACTTTAAGATATATACACTCTTGATGTCCCGGTAAAAAGTCTGAAGTTTTTTGGAGACTTTTTAAGTCTTTGAAAGACTTAGAATGACTAATAAAGTCTTTTTTAATGACTTAAAGCTATATACACTCTTGAAGTCCCGGTAAAACGTCTGTAGTCTTTTGGAGACTTCTGAAGTTTTTGAAAGACTTCGAATGACTTATGAAGTCTTTGAAAGACTTAGACTGACTTATAAAGTCTTTTTTAATGCTTTGAAGTCTTTTTTAACGACTTTAAGCCATTACACTCAAGTCCCAGTAAAAAGTCTGAAGTTTTTTGGAGACTTTTTAAGTCTTTGAAAGACTTAGAATGACTTATGAAGTCTTTTTAACGACTTTAAGCCATATGCACCCTTGAAATCCCGGTAAAAACTCTGAAGTTTTTTGGAGACTTTTCAAATCTTTGAATGACTTAGAATGACTAATGAAGTCTTTTTTAATGACTTCAAGAGTGCGCAGTCCCTCGATTGTGTAGTTTGAAATAGTCATAATAAAATCTTACTACATTATTTCATTTTCAGTTGGAAAGTGCCTTAGAGTTGAATGACTATGTGAACACAATAAAATTACCTAAGCGGGGAGAAGACTTTCACAATAAAACCGCTGTCGTGGCTGGTTATGGCTGGGACTCGTTGGAAATAACCACGAACTCTGAAGGAAAACCAGTGCGACATGGGGCATCTAGTCTATATTTAAGATTCGCTAAAGTGACAGTTACTGCGTCATTAGAAGGTTTTCCCAGTACGATTCTTGGTGGTCAAGTGGAGCAAACTCCTGGCTCAAAGAATGGTGCTTGTGATGTAAGAATCATAATTTTTAATCTTAACAGTTCACAAAGTAGTTTAATTTATAAAACGTAACAATATGATTTGCTGCTTAACAATTTTTTTTGTATCTTCCAGGGCGATCACGGTAGTCCTCTGGTTGTTGATGGTGACAAAGTCATTGGAGTTTTAAGTTCTACTCCATTTGATTGTGATGAGACACGTCGTCCTTCCTATTACACCAAAGTCTCGGAATACTTGGACTTTATTCAAAAAAGTACAGACGGTAAATCCGTGAAGGAAAAAACCGAATAAAATAAAACCTAACTGTAAATATTTTGAAACGTTTTAATCGAGACACTCGGAAGGTTCTTCACTAAGAAAACCCATGACTTGTGCGAAGATACCTTTACTGTAATCAAACGATTGATTCAATAATAATGCTAATAAATCATTGCAGAACGACCGATGTCAATTTAAAAAATTTAAATAAATATTTTTCGTTCTTGCAAAATATCTTTATTTTTTAGTCATAATCATATTCCCACATAATTTAAATACTTGATTAAATGTACATTGCTTAATATTATTTGATTGGAGGTTAAATTATTTGGAATGTGACCTTTACCAATGACCAAGATATCTCAAGCTTATGTGCTCCTTCGTTGAAGTAAGACAGTCGGAGTCTTAAGCTGATATAAATTGACATGACGATCAAGGTACAACAACTAAAATAAAGAAGCTTAAATATAGAGACACGTTTACAAACAGAGAGTAGAGCTGATGTAGTTTTAAACTCTGAAACGCGAGCCACACACACTTTCGGTCTACTTTTATAAGCACAAAGCTGTTATTTGTTTGTTTCAAAGAAGAGTATCGATACATCAACACTTCAAGCACGCAATAAACATTAAAACAAATAGCATATAATATTTTTCACTACATTTTGAATAATAAGTATGCACAGAGGTGACTAAAATGGAAAAAATAAGAACAAGGAATTCAATTTACAATGAATAATTTTGTACAACAATACGTGATTGAGAGCATTATTATTTTGTAGAAGGGGCAAAGGGGCCTAGCAACCATTAAAGTTCTTATGAGTAACAAGTGTGTAACGTAGGACGAAAGATATTACGTAAATATTGTATAAAAAATGACTATAAAATAAAATAGTTTTTAGAAAACCTTGTCGTTTATTTTGATATGTTCCACTTAACATACATAAAAACAATACTATCCAATATCTTTGTAAAACTATGAGGTTAAGCTCACTGAAGTTTTTAGTAATGGCTTGAACCATAGTATTCTTTTACAGTAGACGTTGCTGAAATTTTTAATAGAAAAGTGAAGCAATCAAATAACATGAAAGTATAAATTATTTATAACATTAAAGTACCTTTCGATTTCTTAAAAACCTATTGGTTGTCATATTTTTTGTTATTTCAATGAAAAAATGCAGTTCCTTAACAGTCACACGCAATAACTAACAACAACAAAAGACTTTCTTGACTTTCGAATATTTTTCCGTCAATCTTAATTCATGAAAATGAAAAATTCATATCACGTCTACAGCAGCTCTATGTATCTAAAATGTGACTGGGAACTAGTGGTTAATGAAATGCTGTACGTAGCACTAACGAGCTTACAATCGGTCTCTCAATTCATATCGTTACAAAAAGTGATATAAATACAAATAAAGGGAATCTCTCCAGTGATTAGCACTTTAGCTCTTTTTTTCCCTCAGTTGCAAAACAACCCAATAATCAACGAGCACACACACAAAACTTCATTGATAAAAAAAAGGTTGAGAAATGTAATGATGGATAATCCTAATAAAAATTAAAGAGCAGTTTGCTGCGAAACTATTGGATAAATAATCATACTTCTACAAAATTAACTCAAAACATCCTTTCAATCTAGTCTACAATCACAACAATAGGCCCCATACTGTACAAGCCGACGACTTCACGTCCAGTTCAGAAAATCCATATTTTACGAAAAACAAGATAGGTTCGTCGTATCTCTTTCATAATCAATCACGAGAGTCAACGGGGGGACTTCCATCAGCGCTGCATCATCAATACGTTGAACAGGTCATGTAGATAAACCTGAATTATGGCAGTTGTTGCTGCCAACTTGGGTCACGAACAACGAGTCATTCGCTTACTTGTCATGAATTTTGTCAAAAACGCAAACAAACATCGTTGTCAAAACGTCGACATATTATGAAGCGTTACCTTGTTAAATCGCTTTTGCTGATGTCACCAAAAGTTAATCAAGAAACAATAGTTGCCTGTTGTGTAGTAGCTTGTAAGTCACCTAATGATAAACTTGTATGTATTTTTACTTTTACCATGCCAACTTACGATTAAACGAATCGACCTAGGATTTGATTCTATCAAAACGACTTTTAGAAACTGCACGAAAAATTTAATGTGTTTAAAATGTACTTTTCCCACAAAATCAATTTAACACATATTGGATGATATGAAGTCTAGAATACTACGAGTACGTTGTACAATTTTGCATTGATACAACGACGGGGGAAAGAAAATTATTAGATATTGTAAAAGTAGGTTCAAAAAAACCTCTATAAGGTGTCTCAGTATGTAATTAAATTTGAAAAGTCCACCTGACTGAATTGTGTTGCCTTGGTACTACAAAAATAAAAAAATGAGTAAATTAGGATTTAACAATTTTTATGCTGGACTAAGTGAAAAGTTCAATTTATTAATTGTGTTCTGTTGAAATCTTGAGTGGAAACTTATGTGAAAATAGTTATTTAAGATTATTAAAAAAATTTAATTTTCCTTTTTTTTATTTCCATCCAACTTTTTTTATGTCGGAGCCTTTAAAAAACTTATAATTTTATAATCAGTTTGTGATAAGTAAGAGCTGTCCTAAAGAGGTGCACTTTACAAAGTTTTGTAACATTTTGATTGTCAGTCTTATTAATCATTTTGCATCAAATCTAAAATAGTAATAAAAAACACCATATTTTAATTTCATGTAATAATATAAATGTTTATGAATCAAGGGAATTAAAAAAAAAAATTCATTTTTTGTTGTTTTCAAATTGTTCCTAT